CTCTGGTTCCTCTGCCTTTTCTAAAACCAGCTTGAACATATGGAAGTTCACGGTTTATGTATTGCTGAAGCCTGGCTTGGAGAATTTTGAGCATTACTTTACTAGCATGTGAAATGCGGTAGTTTGAGCATTCTTTGGTATTTCCTTTCTTTGGGATTGGAATGAAAATTGATCTTTTCCAGTCCTGTGGCCACTGTTGAATTTTCCAAATTTGCTGACATATTGAGTGCAGCACTTTCACAGCATCATCTTTTAGGATTTGAAATAGCTCAACTGGAATTCCATCACCTCCACCAGCTTTGTTCATAGTGATGCTTCCTATGGCCCACTTGACTTCACATTCCAGGATGTCTGGCTCTAGGTGAGTGATCACACCATGATTAACTGGGTCCTGAAGATCTTTTTCATACAGTTCTTCTGTGTATTCTTGCCACCTCTTCTTAACATCTTCTGCTTCTTTCAGGTCCATACCATTTCTGTCCTTTATTGTGCCCATCTTTGCATGAAATGTTCCCTTGGTATCTCTAATTTTCTTGACGAGATCTCTAGTCTTTCCCATTCTATTGTTTTCCTCTATTTCTTTGCACTGATCATTGAGGAAGTCTTTCTTATCTCTCCTTGCTATTCTTTGGAATTCTGCATTCAAATGGGTATATCTTTTACTTTCTTCTTTGCTTTTTGATTCTCTTCTTTTCACAGCTATTTGTAAGACCTCCTCAGACAGCCATTTTGCTTTTTTGCATTTCTTTTTCCTGGGGATGGTCTCGATCCCCGTCTCCTGTACTATGTCATGAACCTCTGTCCATAGTTCATCAGGTGCTCTGTCTATCAGATCTAGTCCCTTAAGTCTATTTCTCACTTTCACTGTGTAGTCATAAGGGATTTGATTTAGATCATACCTGAATGGTTTGGTGATTCTCCCTACTTTCTTCAATTGAAGTCTGAATTTGGCAATAAGAAGTTCATGCTCTGAGCCACAGTCCACTCCCAGTCTTGTTTTTGCTGACTGTATAGAGCTTCTCCATCTTTGGCTGCAAAGAATATAATCAATCTGATTTTGGTGTTGGCCATCTGGTGATGTCCATGTGTAGAGTCTTCTCTTGTGTTGTTGGAAGAGAGTGTTTGCTATGACCAGTGCGTTCTCTTGGCAAAACTGTTAGCCTTTGCCCTGCTTCATTCTGTACTCCAAGGCCAAATTTGCCTGTTACTCCAGGTGTTTCTTGACTTCCTACTTTTGCATTCCAGTCCCGTATAATGAAAAGGACATCTTTTTTGGGTGTTAGTTCTAAAAGGTCTTGTAGGTCTTCATAGAACCATTCAATTTCAGCATCTTCAGCGTTACTGGTCGGGGCATAGACTTGATTACCGTGAGACTGAATGGTTTGCCTTGGAAACGAACAGATATCAATCTGTCGTTTTTGAGACTGCATCCAAGTACTGCATTTTGGACTCTTTTGTTGACTATGATGGCTACTCCATTTCTTCTAAGGGATTCCTGCCCATAATAGTGGATATAATGGTCATCTGAGTTAATTTCTCCCATTGCAGTCCATTTTAGTTCACTGATTCCTAGAGTGTTGACCTTCACTCTTGCCATCTCCTGTTTGAACACTTCCAATTTACCTTGATTCATGGACCTAACATTCCAGGTTCCTATGCAATATTGCTCTTTACAGCATTGGACCTTGAAGAAATTACCATAAAATTCACCACAGTGGTGACCTCCATGGGAAGTAAAAAGCTGTGATTAGGAAGGAGGACATGAGGATAATTCAAGGGTACTGATAATGTCCTATTTCTCAAACTGAGGATTGATTACTATGATTTCTTAGAATGAGCATTTATTTGTTTTGTTTTGAAATAGTTTTGTTCTTATTTCTCCTTGCTTTTCCAGTTGTCATGTATGGATTTGAGAGTTGAACCATAAAGAAAACTGAGCGCTGAAGAACTGATGCTTTTGAACTGTGGCGTTGGAGAAGACTCTTGAGAGTCCCTTGGACTGCAAGGAGATCCAACCAGTCCATCCTAAGGGAGATCAGTCCTGGGTGTTCATTGGAAGGACTGATGTTGAGCCTGAAACTCCAATATTTTGGCCACCTGATGCAAAGAGCTGACTCATTTGAAAAGACCCTGATGCTGGGAAGGATTGAGGGCAGGAAGAGAAGGGGACTACAGAGGATGAGATGGTTGGATGACATCACCGACTCAATGGACTTGGATCTGGGTGGACTCTGGGAGTTGGTGATGGACAGGGAGGCCTGGCGTGCTGCGGTTCATGGGGTCGCAAAGAGTCGGACACGACTGAGTGACTGAACTGAACTATTTCTCCTTACAGTTCTTCTGTAAGGAGAAAGACTTACAGAAAAATTACAAAAATAATACAAATATTCACCCAGCTTCTCTTATTGTTTGTATCTTGCATGCGTGCGTGCACACTAAGTCGCTTCAGTCGTGTCTGACTCTGTGATTTCCCTGTGTGTGCCTGTGTGTGTATTAGTTGCTCAATTGTGTTTGGCTCTTTGTGACCCTATGGACTGTAGCTGCCAGACTCCTCTGTCCGTGGGATTCTCCAAGAAAGAATACTGGAGTGGGCTGTCATTTCTTTCTCCAGGGGCCCTTCCCAACAGGAATCCAACACACACCTCCAACATTGGCAGGCAGGTTCTTCAGCAGTGTGCCACCTGGAAAGCCCAGTATCTTGCATAATCACAGTAAAATTACCAAAATGAATTAACATTGATATGATAACATCAGCTAAACTACAGACTTTATTTGACTTTTACCACTTTGTCCTTTTTTTCTGTTCCAGGATCCAATCCCAAATCCCACATTGTATTTATTAACAAATGTCCAGTTTCCTTAGTCTCCATTACTATGTGAAAGTCTTTCAGAGCCTTGGCACTCTTTTTTTTGGGGTGGTGGTGAACATTTTTTAAAACTCATTAATTAGGACCTTTACTAGCTGTCTAGTGGTTAAGACTCCCCCCTTCCAAAAAAAAAAAAAACAACCCAGAAGCTCTGTCCTCCCACTGCAGATTGGCACAGTTTCAATCTCTGGTTAGGACTAAGATCCCATATGCTATGTGGCATGCTAAAAATATCTTTTTAATTATTTTTTTAATTTATGTTTTGAAGTATAGTTGATTTACAATGTTTTGTTAGTTTCTGATGTATAGCAAAGTGGTCAGTTTCATATATATATATATATTTTTTTTTTTAAATATTATTTTCCATTATGGCTTAATACAGGATATTGAATATAGTTCCCTGTGCTATACAGTAGGACCTTGTTGTTTATCCATTCTATATATAATTGTTTGCATCTGCTAATCCTAAACTCCCAATCTATTCCTCCCTCATCCAGCCTTCCCCTTGACAAGCGTAAATCTATTTGAGCCTTGGCCCTTTTGAAGAGTATTGGTCAATCATTTTGTGCAATGTCTCTCAATTTGGTGGTTTGTCTAATATTTCTCATGCTTAGATGGAGGTTATGCATTTTGACATGTGTGTCTTCTCAGCACATCGTATCAGGGGTACACAATGTCAATATGTCTTATCATTGGCAACGCTAACCTTGATAACTTAGTTAAAGGAGGTGAGATCTAGTGTGTTTCTGCTTTAAAGTTATTATTTTGATCTATGTAATTAATAAATACCTTGAAGGAGATACTTCAAGACTGCACAAGTACCCTGTTTCTCCTCAATTTTTTACCCACTAATCTCACCTTCCATGGTTGGGTGTTGCTCCAACAATTATGACTCTTGGTGTTTTAATAGTGGTTTTCTATCTCTTGTGTTTGTTGCAGTTCTTCTGTAAGGACAGCTGCTCTTTCTCCATTTTCATGTTAACTTTTATGCACTTTCCTCTACATATTTCAAGTGCACCTGGGACATTTACAGAAATTAAGTATATCCTGGGAAACACATGAATTTCAATGAATTACAGAATTACGCTGCCCAGATTTCCTTTATGGGGCCACCCACCCATTTCCAGCTGCCGTGGAGTTGATGGCTAACAGCTCACAGTCCTTCACCAAAGAACTGCCTTCAGTCAGCAGGGAGCCTACCTCACTGGGGAACCTCAGCAGCCCTCAGTGACTGACTGACATAGGCTTACAAAAGGCCAGCCCTCTGCCTCAAAAGTGCAACCAGTTTTGAGATATAACTCCCACTTCAGAGCTCCTTGGGATCAGGTGGACACAGACTTAACTGTTAACTCTTAACAAACCCTGCCTAGCTTTCTGCCCTGCCCTAATCTGCTTCCCCCATCCACCTTCCTTCTGAGAGCATTCTCTCAATAAAACCCTTGCACAAGAACCTCCATCTCAGGCTCAGCTTCTAGGGAATCTGCCCTGAGATATTTTCCTGATTTCTAAGATTCCTTCTGAGTGATTAGTGAATATGTGGGGAAGGGAGAAGATAGATCCTGGAGGGAAAGGGCCCCTTTTTTTCCTCCTTTACTCAAGCTAAGGAATGAAAAGTAAGATGGCAATATAAATTTGGCAGCTAGTCTTAAACTGTGTTGCCATGATGGCAATCTTGAAAACGGCTTAGAGAATCCCTTCGGGCAGTTTTTTTCTGGTCTTCTTATTTGCTACAATCAGAAGCTCAAAAGTTTTGCTATATAGAGCTGAGAATTAGGAGGGAAAAAATGAGACAAGTCTGGAGTTCAAACCTGGAAAGCTAGGCCTTGAAGCCTCCCTAATCAGTTACCTCAAGACTCTTCTCTTCAGATTGTTCTTCACCTTCTTGGAGTTGCAGGCCTCAAGGGTTTCAGAAGCCTCCTGACCCCTCTCCAGGTCTCACCCACCCATACACTAGCCCCACGTCCTAGAGATGGAAATGCATATAGTATTAGAAAGTATGAGGAGATGTTCAGAGAGATGAAGGGAGGAGCTGGAGGAAGAAAGTGGATACATCTACAAAAATAATTGAGAAAGATGAAAACCTGTGCTCATCAATCAGGTTCCTACATACCATCCATAAAAATAAAATTTGCTTTATTTACAAGTTGAAGGATTACACTCTCTGTTCTCCTGGCTTTTGCCCAGAACTTCCCCTGGAGTTCCTTCTGGAGCCTGTCCCCTCCCTTGCTCATTAACAGAAACTGCGCCTCCATTCTCCTTTTCACTGGGGTTTCTCCTTTCTTTAGAATCCGATGCTTTGTTTTCCTCCACTAACTTCTGCTGAGTTCGGCAGCACATACACAAGTATTGCCGGAACTTCATCACACTCCAGGGAGATGACTTGGGATTGGAGGCGGTCGTGCTCAAGTTACTTTCCAAGACGCCTGAAATCTTTTGCTTCCGTTGGCGGGTCTTTGAGTATGTGTGTTGCTTCCGTCTCACCCTAGGAGAGCGCCTTGCCTCGTCCTCTTCATCCTCCTTGTCATTCTCATCTTCCTCCCTCACCTTATTTCTCCTCATCCGGAAAATGGCAATCTTATTCCGCTTCTGTCTCTTGCCTGGAACAAGGCTGGGGTCTTCTTCCTTGAAGAATCCGAGAGCAAGGAATGAAGCGTGCTCTCCACTGACCCATCCCATTACATATGGGACTTCGAGTCTAAGGGTGGGAAGTGAGGCAGAGAAGGACTGAGATCAGAGGGAAAGATTAAGCCAACCACCCACCTGCTTGTGAGTACAGCACGGGAAGCACAGCTTTAGACTGCCCTGCCCAGGGAAGACATGCGCTTAAAATGACCAAACAGAAGTTACAAAACGGTGTCAGCAAAGGATACACAGGCATATTCTAAGCGCGTCAGATGAGAGCTCATTATTTTACAAAGGATTCAAATACTTTGGTTAAAGAATCCCTTTAGAAGTTAGGTAATAACCCTCTAATTTATCTGTTCTAGAAATCCAGGCAGTGCCTATTCGAAGGTGATGGATCGGTTTATTATCTTGATTGTGGTGATGGTTTTGCAAGTATATACATTGCCAAAACACCAAGTTGTACACTTTAAATATGTATAGTTGTATTGTGCATCAATTATAGCTCAATAACAAAATTACAGCTAGCATTTAAACCCTCCCCCAAATAAACAAGCAAGTAAGTTCATATAGCAAGTGTGTTCAACAGCATATAAATGTTGAGAGGGTACAATGGAGGACACTCATAAAAATGGAGCAGCTAGCCAGGAGGCAGTTCTGTGTATGAGATCCTGAGTCAAACAAACTGAGCTCAAACTCTAGCATCTTTTAGGCAATCTTGGGAGAGATTTTGTCTCCATTTGTCTCCATTTCTTCATCCGAAAAATGGGGATAGTAATAGTATTGACCATACAGGGTTCTTATGAAGTTTAAATGACAGATAAATTCTCATAAAATGGCATGTTGTAAGTATTCAATGGATATAAGCTGAGACTACTATTACTGTTGGTATTTTCTCCTGGAAGGAGTCAATTTGAGCCATGTTTAGTAAAAATGTGAATTGGAAGGACATAGACAAGACATGGAAGGTGGCCACAGAACATCAAAGGGGAGGTCAGTGACCTAAGATGCCCACACGGTGGTAGAGCAAGGGGTGGGAGACCCCAGAGGAGGGGCACTCACGCTGGTCAGGTCCTGGCTCCCTTGATAGCCTAGGTCATCAGTGAAGCTGTGGATGGGTGTCAAGGATATATCAATGGTGTTAAAGGAGGGGTTTTCTACCCCTGGGGATCCCCAAGCTTCTTTAACCTCCTAAGGGGAAGAAAAGGAGAGGTTAGTTAGAAGTGGAACTGCTCACACAAGGCAGAACTTCAGGAGTCACCCTGCCCTTGCACCTGCTGCGTCCCATCCTGCTCCCCTACTTCGAGATGCGAAGGTAGAGACATATTATCTCTCTTCTTCATTATCATACAGTTCTGAGATCACTAATGCATTGAGACTCTGGTGTGTTCCCTCTGTAACCCCACACTCAATTCTTTACTCCCTATGTCCTCATAGAAGCGGTTGTCATAGCAATAGAAGGCTGGGGTCCCAGGCTCATAGGTTCAAGGAGGGCTCCTCTGAGGGGTGATGAGAGGGTGTACATGCACACACGCACACATACACACCCTTCTTTCTCCTTCACTCTCAGCAAGAAGAGGCTGTATTTGCTCATCCCCCTTCCCCCAGCCCCCACCAGGGCTCCAGGTAAGAAGATGAGCTTAAGAAGAAACACTGTGGACTTCCCACACTTCCTGTGGTAGTCTAGTGGGGAAGAATCCGCCGCCAATGCAGGGGACATAGGTTCCATCCCTTGCCTGGGAAAATTCCACATGCCGTGGGTCAACTAAGCCTGTGCGCCAAAACTACCAAGCCCATACTTTAGAGGCCAGGAGCTTAAGCTACTGAAGCCCATGCACCTACAGCCCATGCTCCACAACGGGAGAGGCCACCACAAGAAGCCCTTGTGCCTCAACTAGAGAATAACCCCCGTTCCCTGCAACTAGAGAAAACCCATGCACAGCAACAAAGATCCAAAGAAAATAAAGAAAGAAATAAGAAAAAAATACTGACCAAATCCTAAAAAGTGGGACCAAACCCCAAAGGGCATCAAGACATGGAAGACATAGATCCCAGAATCCACCTTGGAATCTGCATGTGCTAGAGAGAAATTTGGCCTGGAGCAGAATACTCCACAACCCACTTTGGGTGGCCAGGCCTGTCTGAGATCTTCAAGGATCCAAGGACTCAGTAGGAGACCCTTCAATGTCTGTTTCAAGAGCCTGCGCTCTGACTGAGCCTTCTCTCCTTTTTCTCCCTCCATCCTCTCAGTCTCTGAAGGTAGTAACCAAGGCTCTATCTTTCGTGCATTTCTCTTCTCTGTGCACAACTTCAAGGATCCAAGGACTCAGTAGGAGACCCTTCAATGTCTGTTTCAAGAGCCTGCGCTCTGACTGAGCCTTCTCTCCTTTTTCTCCCTCCATCCTCTCAGTCTCTGAAGGTAGTAACCAAGGCTCTATCTTTCGTGCATTTCTCTTCTCTGTGCACAACTCTCCCTGGGAGAAACTCATTTCGTTGAATTGGCACACATTTATTGATTAAAAGCAATGCCGCAAAGTTGATTGTTGATAGGATCCTAGATTTCTTTTTTTGTCTTAAAGAGCATTTTGGCAAAAACTGAATATAGATTCCAAACCTGAAAATAGTGTGTTATCAGTGTCAAACCTGTTTGGGTTCACTGGGTTTATGGAAAAGAATATTTCTGCTCTTGGGAGATACAAGCTAAAGTACACTGGGATGGAGTGTCATGATATGCAACTGACTCTTGAATGGTTAAAAAAATGTATACGTGAATGTATAGCATATGTGTATGCACACATAAGTTAATTTATATGTAGAGAGAGAAAACAAATGGAGAAAATGTTAGCAGCTGGTAAATCTTAAGTGAAAGGCACGTTGTTGATTAGCCGCCAAGTCATGTCTGACTCTTTTGTGACCCCATGGACTGTAGCCCACCAGGCTCCTCTGTCCATGGGATTCTCCAGGCAAGAATGCTGGGGTGAGTTGCCATGCCCTCCTCCAGGGCATGGGACTGGATGCCATGATCTTAGTTTTTTGAATGTTGAGTTTCAAGCCAGCTCTTTCACTCTCTTTCACTTTCATTAAGAGGCTCTTCAGTTCCTCTTTGCTTTCTGCCATAAGAGTGATATCATCTGCATATCTGAGGTTATTGATATTTCTCCCGGCAATCTTGATTCCAGTTTGTGCTTCATCCAGCTTGGCATTCTGCATGATGTACTCTGCATATAAGTTAAATAAGCAGTATGACAATATACAACCTTGACGTCCTCCTTTTCCTATTTGGAACCAGTCCATTGTTCCATGTCCTGCTCTAACTGTTGCTTCTTGACCTGCACACAGATTTCTCAGGAGGCAGGTAAGGTGGTCTGGTATTCCCCTCTCTTTAGGAATTTTCCACAGTGAGTCAGGCCATATCTTTTTCAGAATGTGGCATCTGTAAACCAACCAACCAACAAGCTGCTCTCTTGCTCATAGAGACCATCTCTCAGAGCACAAGAGTGATCCGCTTTTATGCTAAAATAGCTCCTCATTCCTAGAGATGAGGGTAGCCGGGAATCAAAGGGTGAAGGGGCTAAGGGGGAAACAGGAATCCTTCATACCTAGCTCTCCTGTTGGCTCTCTTCAGCCCTCCTAAGGAAGTCCTGTTTCCTTCCCTCTTGATGAACTGGGAGCCTGGGAGTACCAGGGGGGCAGGAAAGGGAGCACTCTGTGCCGTGTGCACCAGAAGCATCCACAAGTAAGGCATCTTCCCTGGGTTCAGGCAGTCAGTGGACTCCCCAGTGATGGGGAGAAGTCTCAGAAGAAAAGCAGAGAAAAGGTTTGCTGAGAGTCAAAACCCTGGCCTTTTGGATTTCAAAGCCAAAGTTCAGAGAGATGTCAGTATATAAGGACTGTGCTTCTAATATACTAACCACATGTGACTGTTTCACACTTTAGTTGAAATTAGTTAAAATGGAGACTTCCCTGATGGTCTGGTGGTTAAGAATCCTCCTTCTAATGCAGGGGACACAGGTTCGATCCCCGGTTGGGGAACTAAGATCCCACATGCCATGGGGCAACGTGGCCTGCACACTTCAACAAGAGAAGCCCCCATTCCTCCAAAAAGACCCAGTGTAGCCAATAATAATGATGATGATGTGACAGTAATAAAGTCACCATTGTAAAAAAATAAAATTAGTTAAAATGAAATAAAGCTAAAAAATTCAGTTCTCCAGTCTGGATTTCAAGTGTTCCATAGCCATGCGTGATTGGTGGCTAACATATTGGACAGTGGAGCTATCATAGAAGACTTCCATTTTCACCAAAAGTTCTATTGGACAGTGACTCATTAGCAAGAAAGGCATGGCATTCTGTATGACTTATTACTATTATTATTATTCTGTCTCTTTGGAGAGACAGGCAGAGTTTTTGTCTGTTTTGTCCACTGCTGTTGCCCAGAAAAGTGCCTGGCACTCTGGAGAATGATCAGGAAATTTTTGTTGAGGAAATACTACAGGAGTTAGAACCAGTTTTTCATCACTTCTATCCCCTCACCCAACTGATCTCATCTAGAATGAGTCCATCCAGACTGGGGAGGAAGACAAGAAAGAGAGAACAGGACAGAGGGGTCTTAGTCTTCTGCAGCTAAGTCCCTCAGAAGAGCTCTGAGGCTCTGCGGGCTCTGACTTTACACAATCTGGAATTTGGAGAGGATGGCAAAGAAAAAGCTGGTGAGTCCAAGAGTAACAGGAATCTTGCACTTGCTCCCCAAAATGTACATTGTGCCCAGAGAGTGGGTCTGGGCCACTCTGAGATTTCTGCTCACCCCAGGCCTCAGCCTGGTTTGTGAAACTGAGGAATGACTGAGTAGCAAGTGAAGGGCCAGAGAGAGCCCAGCTGAGCTCCGTATAGCTCCAGAGAGGCATGAAACACAGAGGGAGGGAGGGAATTCCCCGGTGGTCCAGTGGTTAGGACTCGGAGTTTTCACTGCTGGGGCCTGGGTTCAGTCCCTGGGCAGAGAACTAGGATCCTGCGAGGTGAGTGGTGTGGCCAAAAAGAAAAAGAAAAAAGCAGAGGGAGGAAAAGGAAGAGGGAGAGAGAGGAGAACTGTGCCTGTGGAGGTCTGGGATAAGCCAGAGGGGGATGACTTGTGCCCTGTGTGAGCTCACACCTGAGAACAGACAGGCTCGGGAAGTCTCAGTGGATGCCAAAGAGGACAAGTGTTGATGACCAAACACCAGAAGTATTTGATCACCTCTCTCCATGCGTGTAGCACATTGGGAGCCCTCTAGAAAATTAGAGGTGCCTCTGGAGAGAATGGCTGGGTAGTCCCTGCAGGAACAAAGATTTAAGTCCTTGCTACCTAATGGAACAGGGGCTGGAAGAAGAAATTGGGTTTGATTGTAGAAAACTAAGGAAGTTAACAAGTCTTTTTTTTTTTTTTACTTCTACCCATTTCCCTTGTTTTTTACAGAACCGGTCTAACTGTAAAACAGTATTATACTTAAGAGACCCTCCAACCAGCCACCGTTCGCCGTCCGCCAGTGGGTACCGTGGCCATGCAGTATCACATAGGAAGACCAGGTGTCTTCTTTAAGCCCTGGGGATCAAATCTATCCCAGTTTTTCAGGATACAGTTCAAAGGAGTGAGGCTGGAATTGTTAGCTCCCATCTTGTCTTGAAGGATCCCGGACAAGCCCCCAAGATGAAAGGTTGTTGCTGAACCATAAGACACGGGATTCTTGGCCTCTGGAGGAGACAAATTCAATCCGGGGCCAGAGACGAGGCTGGATCACTCAGAGCTTTTGTGTAATAAAGTTTTATTAAAGTATAAAGGAGATAGAGAAAGCTTCTGACATAGGCATCAGAAGGGGGCAAAAGAGTATCCCAGTTAACAAGTCTTAAACATCTGAGTTTGCATCCTGAATATTTATATCCACTATTTTTATACCCACTATTTCATTATTGTTTGATCTTTTAAAAATAAGAATATAAACCTATAATATTTGTGTAAATTAAAAATGATTTTTAAAAAATGATTCCATTTACATGGGGTACCTAGACTAGGCAAATTCATAGAGACAGAAAGAATAGTAATTGCCAGGGGCTGGGGACAGGAGAAAGGGAGTTAGTATTGAGTTATTTATTTTTGCCTACATTGGGTCTTCATTGCTACGTGCAGGCTTTTCTCTAGTTGTGGTGAGCAGGGTCTACTCTCTAGTTGTGGTGTGTGGGCTCATGTTGTTGCAGAGCATGGGTTCTAGGCACTTGGGCTTCAGTAGTGGCATGGGGCTTAGCTGCTCTGTGATATGTGGGATCTTAACTACTCAACCAGGGATCAAACCCATGTCCTGTGCATTGCAATGTGGAGTATTAACCACTGGACCACCAGGGAAGCCCCAGGAGTTAGTATTTAATGGGTATGGAGTTTCAGTTTGGGAAGATGAAAATTTCTGGTGATGGATGGTAGTGATGGCTGTACAATAATGTGAATGTAAATGTACATGTAAATGGTTAAAACGGTAAACTTCATATTATGTGTATTTATTACAATCAAAAAAGAATGTAAAAGTAAAAAAAAAAAGATTGCTGCAAATTTACTGTAACAACCTTGATTCTGGATATTTCTTGAAAACTGGCGTGTTTCATATTCACTCCATTACCACTTACAGAGTGCCCTTCCAGCTAACTTTATGCCCATTGCAGGCCCCTAGGTTTGACAGCAAGGCTCTATTTCTGAGTGCTTGCCTCGCTACCAGCTGGAAAGCGGTTTGCCACTTCCTTCTCAGCTTGGTCACACATTCTCTTGGTGGCCCTCTTGTTGCAGATCCCAAAAGAGAAGTCAGTGGGCAGCTTGGGCTCTGTCTTAAACACCAAGAAACAGGACATAAAGCCAGTGACACCATCCTGGGGGCATAGTAAGCACCCTAGGTATCCTGACACTGGCTCTGCACTCCTCTCTTCCTAGCACACAGTTCCCTGAAAATCTAACAAATTTCTACTCAAGCTCTTGATTTGAGGTCCCCATGAGGATGGCAAGAAAAAATTGTATTCTTTTGGAAGTCTTTCAACAGAAACATCTCCCTTAGCAACTGACTCTCTCTCTCTCTTTTAGCCATACTGTGTGTCCTAACCACTTGGCTGCCAGGGAATTCCCAGCAATCGATTCTCAAAACCTCTCCTCTAGTCAGAATAGATTTCAATAGGGAGACTGTAAACAGAAATGATGAAGATTCCTCCAATCAGCAGATATTTCTTGAGCACCTCCGTGTGTTCAGCATCGCTGTAGGACCTTTGGATAAGTCTTTACTAGACAAATTGCACCTAATCATGAAGGTGAGTGTTCCAGATCAGAAACAATAAGAAAACAAACAAAAACCTACAAGTCTCTGTGGTACTGTAAAAGAGCAATGCAGCCTGGCAAAGCCAAGGAAAGCTTCCCAGAGGGGATGAGACCAGGGCGAGGCCCTGAAGAAGGGCTTGGATTTGAATAGAAAAGAGAGGCAACAGAATTTTTTGAGGGAAGCCACACACAAAGGAAGTAGGAGGTTGTGTGTAGAGAATTTGTTGTCATTCCTGAAGTACATCCCGTGTGCTGAGGCATGACACGAAGCAATGGGAAACAGACCACCTGTCCTCAAGGAGCTCTAGTTTGGGAAATGGTGAATGGAGGGACCACTAAAACAAACACAGGTGATGTGTGTTCGTCTACAAGAATGTCAAGCCCCCAGAAAGTAGAAACCTTGCCTGTTCTGTTCATCACTGTATCCTCAGTACCTAGAACAGTGCCAGGCACAAATTATGTGCCCGATAACTGCATACTGAATGAACTCACGCTGCAATGGAGATGTATAATAGCAATACTGATAGTTACCATTTATGGAGCACACACATGTGCCAGACAATATTCTAAGAGTTTTACATACATCATCCTATTTTATCCACCAGCATGTTGAGAGTACTATAATTATCTCATTTCACAGACTTGGAAACCAAGGCTTATAGAAGTTAGCACTTGCCTCAAGGTTACCTAAACTCTTAAGTGACAGAACAGAGATTTGAAGTCATGAATTCAAAATTACCTAACTTCACTATTCATCCTCTGAACATAGAGTCAAAATGCTGTTTAGGGAAGTCTGTCTACTAGCTGACTGAAATATGCAGAGAAAGACTCAAGAAAGTGAAACTATTGCAATGAAAAAATAGCAATAGCAATGCGTATAAACTAAAGCAGTTACAGTAGGAAAGACGAAAGGATCTACTTTCAGGGGATTTCAGTTCAGTCGCTCTGTTTTGTCTGACACTTTGCAACCTCATGGATACAGCATGCCAGGCTTCCCTGTCCATTACCAACTCCTGGAGCTCTTTTTCTTGGGGATGGTTTTGATCACTGCCTCCTGTACAATGTTAGAAACCTCAGCCCATAGTTCTTCAGGCACTCTGTCAATCAGATCTAATCCCTTGAATCTATTTGTCATTTCCACTGTATAATCAGAAGGGATTTGATACAGATCATACCTGAATGCTTTAGTGATTTTTCCCTATTTTCTTCAATTTAAGTATGAATTTGGCAATAAGGAGTTCATGATCTGAGCCACATTCCTCTCCCAGTCTTGTTTTTGCTGACTGTATAGAGCTTCTCCATCTTCGGCTGCAAAGAATATAATCAATCTGATTTCAGTATTGATCATCTGGTGATGTCCATGTGTAGAGTCATCTCTTGTGTTGTGGGAAGAGGGTGTTTACTGTGACAAGTGCGTTCTCTTGGCAAAACTCTGTTAACCTTTGCCCTGCTTCATTTTGTACTCCAAGGCCAAACTTGCCTGTTACTCCAGGAATTTACTGATTTCCTACTTTTGCATTTTAGTACTGTATGATGAAAAGGACATCTTTTTTGGATGTTAATTCTAGAAGGTCTTGTAGGTCATCATAGAACCATTCAGCTTCAGCTTCTTCAGCATTAGTGGTTGGGGCATAGACTTGGATTACTGATATTGAGTGATTTGCCTTGGAAATGAACATAGATCATTCTGTCGTTTTTGAGCTTGCACTCAAGTACTTAACTGCACTTCAGACTCTTTTGTTGACTATGAGGGCTACTTCATTTCTTCTAAGGGATTCTTGTCCACAGTAGTATATATAATGGTCATCTGAATTAAATTCTCCTATTCCCGTCCATTTTAGTTCGTTAATTCCTAAAATGTCGGTGTTCACTCTTGCAGTCTCCTGTTTGACCACTTCCAATTTGTCTCGATTCACCCACCTAACATTCCAGGTTCCTACGCAGCCCTTTGAAATCCCCTTCAAAGGGCTTCTAAGGAAAGTTCAGGGCTTGATGACTTATTTGATATATGGGCTGATCAAATTTCTCGACTGGAAATACAAAGAACGGTGGTAGCCCCAAGAGAAATAGCTTTCCTGTAATTCCCAGCTTGGCAGTACACTAGATAGATAGGTTTTAGACAGATGACCCTAATCTCTAGATTTGTCAGTTCCACAAAACACTTAGTCAGGTGCTGGGTGTCCACAGTAACGGCAAGTCAGATTGAAAAGTCATTCTGGAGGGCAGAATGATAAAAGCGAGAAAGAAAGAAATGAAAGAAGGCGCGGGCGGGGTGGGGAGGGCGGGAAGACAGCGAGGGTGCACAGACAACTCTTTTCTAGGAGCGGTCGCATCCCAGAGACCAGCGGGCACTACAAAGGCAAAGGAGGGGCTTGTCTAAGAACTACAACTCCCAGTAGGCATCGGGCAGAGCAACCAAGCTTCCGGCCAGAGCTTATTTCCGGTCTTTCGGGTGCTGACGCTCTCTTCCGGTTTTGACGGCCCCTGCAAGGCCTCGGGGGATGTGCAGGGTGAGTCCCGAGGCACTGGGGTCGCGAGTGGGAGCAGGGGAATCTTGTGTGCGCACTACACTCAGCGGCTCAAAGTTAGCTCCGGGAGGTCAGGGAGGAGAGAGGGCATGCTGGCGGGAGGACGTGTAGTGTTGGCAAGAATGGACTTGCCAACGGGAGGGGACTGGGGCCACGGAGGGCCCCGCAAAGGGATGTGGAGGGCGAGGACGAATGGGATCCCGGGGAAAGGCTGGAGGGTGGGCTGCAAGAGCGTGGGGGGGACCCCGCGAGCGCGGCGTGGAATCCCAGGGGAGCTGGTGGAGGAGGGCCAGAGGGAAGGTAGCAACCGTGGGGTGCTTCTGCGTGGAGGAAAGCTAGAGGCTGCCGTGGGTCCGAGATCGGGCGACTCCGGCAGCCCAAGGAGCGTGGGCACGTGGAGTCCTCTCAGAAGATCCTGCCAGTTAGGGAGCATCCAGGACCCAGGCGGCTTAGAGACCGCTATGTTGGAAGGGGCTGCCTCTGGCAAACTCAAAAGAGCTTTGACGGAGTTTGAAAGAAAGAGCTGTCAGGAAGCTTTTGGTGGTTTTCGTGCTTGGATTGACTGCTCGCTTTGCCTTTTCCTCCAAAGATGAGGCTGCTGGCATTCGCGGTGTTGGCTCTATTTGCTGTCACTCAAGCAGAGGAAGGAGCCAGGCTTTTGGCCTCCAAATCACTGCTGAACAGATACGCTGTGGAGGGGCGAGACCTGACCTTACAGTACAACATTTACAATGTTGGCTCGAGGTAAGGAGGCACTGGAACTGTAGGTTGGGCCCTTTTCAAGTTTTTTAAATTTCCTAGCTGGGAACAGACACCAGCAGTGATTTATCTTTGGGAGATTTTCAGCAGCAGATACCATGAGTGAATGAATGAATATAGTGCTGGATCTGCTTTTGGAAGAGGAGGACATATTCTTACCTAAGCTACAAGAAACCATCTTCCACTTTTTTTGATGTGAAAGAGTTTCAGGGTGGGGAAGAAGCAAGAATTGTGGTGAAATAGAAGAAAATGAGAAGGCAGAAAATGTATGATTCTTTGTTACCTTAGGGATTTAGTTCCAGCTTCCTTTCTTAGATTGGCATTTTTGTTGTCTTTCACTGTTTTAAAAAATAGGCCTTTTATTTTGTTTGGTTGGGTTTGTGGTTGTGTGGGTTTTTTTTTTTTTTTTTTGCCACACTGTGGGGCATGTGGAATCTTAGCTCCTTGAGCAGGGATCAAACCTGAGTGTCCCACATTGGAAGCACAGAGTCATAACCACTGGACTGCCAGAGAAGTTCCTTTTTATTTATTTATTTGGCTTCATGTCAGGTCTTAGATATGGCCTGCAGGATTTTCATTACTGCGTCCCCTGGACCACCAGGAAAGTCCTCTCTTTTACTTTATTCCCTTTAATTTTCTTTTCCATATGCATCTTGCTCCTCTTTCCCTCCTTACACATACACACACACACACACACACACACGAGAAAAAACTAGGGCAAAAATGGATTCAGGCCCATTCATTCCTAGATATTTCGAGTATTTTATTTTGGTGCCCAGAATCCAGGCCTTGAGTGAGATTCTTCAGTGTAACTATGTGACTCATATCTGTCCTTTGTAGTTCTGATTTTTTAGGACAGGCAGGCAGATTTGATTGCTAACTGCTTTAATTTTATAACCACTACTTACTAACCTTTCTTTGTTTCCTCCATTCTCTAGTGCTGCATTAGATGTGGAATTATCTGATGATTCCTTCCCTCCAGAAGACTTTGGCATTGTCTCTGGAATGCTCAATGTCAAATGGGACCGGATTGCTCCGTATCCTCTTGACACTGGCTGATGAAGGCTAATGGGATGTTGGGAGGGATACCGCCAGCAAAGCAGTAGGGTCACATCAGTCTAAGTGTATATGGCCATTCTTGCCACCTCTCTGGGTAAGATGTGGCAAGAGAGACTAGTGAGAATTGAGTGTGCATGATTTAGGGTGGGCCTGAGGAAGGAGGTTCCTGAGGTTTAGGTTATAAAGCCCTAAAACATTCTATATTGGGAGAATATAGGCAGATGTTTGTGGCTGGTTGATGATCTTTAAGGTGCTTTTAAAAGAAATTCTGTGGGATGCTAGTGTGGAAGACCTGGGTGACCTGTTTAAAGGCTCTTCTTATTCAATGAACCCCTTATTTGGATCAACTGGTAATTTCTTGAGTGTTTTTAAAATGTGTTGTTTATTTACTTATTTTTGGCTACACTGGGTCTTTGTTGCTGTATGCAGGCTTTCCCTAGTTGTGGCAAGTGGGGGCTACTCTTGTTGTGGTGCATGGGCTTCTCATTGCAGTGGCTTCTCTTGTGGAGCACAGGCTCTAGGGAGATCCGGATTCAGTAGTTGTGGCACACAGGCTTAGTTGCTCTGCGGCATGCAGAATCTTCCCAGACCAGGGGTCAAACCCGTGTCCCCTGCATTGGCAGGCAGATTCTTTACCACTGGGCCATCAGGGAAGTTCCTTCCTGAGTGTTTTGATTTAGATTACTTTTTTCCCTTGTGAGTTAAAAGTATATTTAGATTTTCTGACAAGGGTAAGTGTTCTCTTTGTATTTTTTGTTTTTGTTTTTGTTTTGTATTTTCAAGAATTTCCTTCAGTTATAGGCAGCGAAAAGTTTTCTGTGACCTTAAGTGACTAATTTTTCACCTATAACCTGTATTGTTTTATAACATTTCAATATTGAGTATGTCATAGACCTCTTAAAACTTGATTAAAAAGATATCATATAATTCCACCCACTTTAGGCTTAGATAAAAAGCCTGTGTTTATTATTTTTGTAGAGTATCTTAGATATGAAATATTATATGTGTTAGCAACTCTTTTTGTGAATGGTGTATTTAGTCCCTAAGTTGAAAGTTTGTTACAACCGTAGCTTCATCTTTTTCCCTCCTTAACTCTTGAGTCAGTGCTAGCAACGTCTCCCACACTGTGGTCCTGCGACCTCTCAAGGCTGGTTATTTCAACTTCACCTCAGCAACTGTTACATACCTGGCCCAGGAGGATGGGCCTGTTGTGGTGAGTCACCCAAACACTTAGCTGGCTGGGCCTCAGCTCTGCCTTCCTTTGAAATCTCGTGCAGAAAATCTCCAGAGCAGGTGCTAAATTCTGAGGAAGGTAAGAAGGACCAGAAACTTGGGATATTGTTGTAGGAAGGAGCATATTTCAAATTATGTTATAAAGTCTCAAAATCAAGCAGTTGAAATGAACAGGAGGGGAGTGCTGTCTGATTCCCTTCCTTCTGCTTCACTTTTATTCTGTACAGTGTCATGTGCTACCTGGTTTTTTACCATCCTTGCCTTTCTGACCCACCTTCTACACTGCTGTCAGATGATTCCCAGTCTCCGCTGTGTCTGTGTCTTCCCCTTGCTTAGAATGCTCCTGCTTCTCACATCAAGAACACGCTTTTCCTTGCATACCCTCCAGTAGTTTTGCTGTGTTCTGCCTCTCCCTCCAATTCTCTACCCACCAGGATCCTATGTCCTAATGAGGCCAAGCGCCTCCTCTGTCTCAGTGCTCCTTCCTTCCACTCTGCCTTTGTTCTCTGTTTGAAGTACTCTCTCTCCTCCACTTCATTATCTGACACCTTCTCAAGACCCAGTTCTGAACTGCATCTCCTTGATTCTGTCTCCTGCTTTTACAATTCATATTGCTCTTTCCTACTCATTCTTTCACTAAACATTCATTGACTGCATCAAAACTTCTGTAGCTCTTAAAATCCATGCCACTTGCACATTTAATTATTGACTATCTTCAGTAGTTCTCTTTCTTATATCTAGATCTTTTCCCTCACCCCCACCTCCCAGTTTAATTATAAACTCCTTGAAGTGAGGGTCTGTGTCTTAGATTTCTTTCTGTTTCCCATATAGGGTAGAAGTCCAGTGTAAACAGTCTTGATTGATTGATGTAAAGGTCAGCAGACATTTATTGAGCCCCCACAATGTGCTAGATGATAGGAAATACAAAGAAGATTGATAAGATACTGTCGTAGGCCTCAGAAAGCTTAGGCCATGAATTATAAATGCACATGGGCTTTAGGCTCCTCAGTGAGTGCACAGTAGGGAAGGGACTTACCATAGTCAACCGTAGAACTATGAGAAATCCGAGAGTCTCGAACATTCAATGCACTCTCCGAATTATCTTTTTAAAATGAACCTGTGGGACTATATTCTTGTAATTCTGGTTATGTTGTCTTCACATCTTCCACCCTGTGTGCTTTAAGAACCTCATCTGGGATTCTTTGGTTCCACCTGGTCCTTGATGGGTTAAAAGACACAAACTTAAAGGCTCAGCTGCCACTTTAGAACAAAGTTGTTTGCCATGTGCTCCAAACTCTTGGTCTGCTCTCCAAGACGAAGGAATGTGAGGCAGATTCAGCCCCTCCTCTGGTAATGTACATTTGGGTAGGGCTTGAGACTTTACGGAATCCTCATTATTTCACTGGAGCCTAATGTCAGCTTGTGAGTTACAGGAGAGTGTTTCCACTTGAGAAATGGGAAATGATTGCCAGGGCAGAAGGGCCAGTGGTGGTGAGCAACTCTCTCCAGAGTCTGAGGCTGAGGTAGAATGATCTGGCTTTAATTACAGCAGCATACCTGTCCTACCTTTTTTTTTTTTTCCTTTTTTTTTAGTAAATGCTCATCATGTGTCTCCTGGCTCCTAATTTACTCATCTTTACAACACACGAAAGAACCATCCATCTTCTCTAGTTCAAAAACTTCCTCAAATGGATGTTTCTTAGGCCTTTGGGAACTAAGACTCTATTGCTTAGAACTGGGTTGGTTGAAAAACTGCCCTTTTCCCAGATGAGAAAGAGCTGAAGACTTGCCTTCTTTTCTTCTTTTCAGATCGGCTTTACCAGTGCACCTGGACAGGGAGGAATCCTGGCTCAGCGGGAGTTTGATAGAAGATTCTCCCCCCATTTTGTAAGCTTTGCAGTCCTCTCATCATTCCCCTGGGAGGAGAACGCCCTTTTTGTTCTGAGATCTCTTGGCCTCCTTAGCAGATATGTATAGTTGGTTGGTTCTTGTCATATCTGTTTTTTGGTGTCTGGTATACACAGCCATCAAACATCATGATTTAATATGGCTAGAGATTTTTGGCAATGAGATTACAATTGCCAGAACCAAAAAAAAAACTGCCATTTTTCTCTGCTCAGTCTTGAGTAAAGCCCCACCTTGGAGTCCTGGGTCTAATTCGAGGGTGAAAAGAATATCTGCTTAGATTCAGAGTCCGCGAGCATCGGGCAGTTAAATGGGGACTTTGTTGTACTCTAGTCCAGGAGAGAATTTTTTGAAGATTTGCCTAAAGTACTGAATGAGGAGATGCATTTATTCATTCCTTCAGGGAATAATTATGAGGTTCCAAATTACGTGCTCAGTTCTGTGCTTTGCTTGGAGAAACCAGCGCAAGAGGCAGTCCCTCCCATTGAAGATCTTATGGGCTTATAGAGGCCTCAGTGGAGGAAGACCGCCGTGATGGCAGTCACACACAGGGCTAGGAGGAGATGCAGCAGGAACACCTAACCTGGTGTTGAGATTCAGGGAGGATTCTCTGGGGGGGAGAGGTTTCACTAATTACAGAGGAGGTGAGGAAGGGGAGGCACCCCAAGAAGAAGGAGTAGCTCTGAAGTGAGAAAAAGCGTGGTGGAGTCCAGGAATAGCAGGTAGTTGAGGAAGGCTGGAGGGCAGCAGGTGAGGCAGAGGAATGGAAGAGAGAGGCTGGCGGTGTGGGCCGGAGCTAGTTTGCTGGCGGCTTGACTGTCAGGGCAACACCTGGACATCTCCCTCCTCAAATTGTCTAGAAGAGAGAAGCTTCTCTTCCAGATTGGATTGGGTCAGGTGAGGCCTCTGGTTTCATAGCTCGAAAGGTTGATCTTCTGTGAGCCATTCTGTGTCCAGAGTGGCCAGAGAGGAGCCTTCCTGCCGACGCTCTGCTTATTTGGGCTGGCTGCTCCCTTTTCTCATTGGACCCTTCCGTCCTAGTCGCCTCCTGCGCCCTAATCCAGGCTTCTAAGCAAGGCCTTTATTGTCTTCCACAGCTGGACTGGGCAGCCTTCGGGGTCATGACCCTCCCTTCTATCGGCGTCCCCCTGCTGTTGTGGTACTCCAGCAAGAGGAAATATGACACCCCCAAAACCAAGAAGAACTGAGTGGGGCTTCCACAGCCCTCCCTGCCCAAGAAATCAGGTGCTTTCCAGACTCCAAAGGGTATCTCAAATGCAGTGTCTTCTCCTTTAGCCCTTGGCCATCTTCTCCTGGATCCTGTCCTGCTCTAACCAGAGCAAAGGACCAGGCCTGGGAGTCTGTGAGCACCTCTTCAGTTCCATCATGAAGCCGGACAAACAGGAATGCCTTCGGCAGCCGTCTTGACCTCGGGGCCTTCTGTTGCAGCACTGAGGTGCCGGGGGTATGTTGCTGGCGATGTGAACTCTCAGGGGTCCAGGAAAGGGCATTTCGGAGACTGCCTGACACCACCCCATCCCCCGCCACCCCTCTCAAAAAGAGGGTGGAAGATAAGATGAAAGCTGTGGGACTCTTGGAGGCTACCCAGTCTCTGTACTGGCTTAGGAAAGTTCTTACCAAATGGGGTTTTCTAATAAAAACAAATGCCGCCCTGACGTGTCTGTTTTCCCATCACCTGGATGAACTCAGGTTGCTCTTGGTACACATGCCCTGACTACTCTTGCTCCTGGACAGGTGAGCTGAACTCCTGCCTCCTTGCTCTAGGGAGTGTGTGTCCTGTTCCCCAGAGGTATTCTACCCATCCACCTTCTTGAACATCTTTGCTTCTGCCCCTTGTTTCCCTGTCTATTTTCACCAGTCACCACATGCTCAGTCATGTCCAATTCTTTGCGACCTCATGGACTATAACCTGCGAGGCTCCTCAGTCCATGGAAGTTTCCAGGCAAGAATACTGCAGCAGATTTCCATTTTCTTCTCCAGGGGATCTTCCCGACCCAGGGACCAAACCCTTGGCTCCTGCATTGGCAGGCAGACTCTTTATCTCTGTGCCAGTCACCATATAGTCCCCTAAATCTTCCTTGCTTGTGAGCCCCTCTCCACAGTAGAGGGAAAATGGGGAAAGATGGTCTGCAATTGTTCTATCCCCAGGAGATCTTCTGAGGGTAATTGAATTCATTATTTTTAAAAAACTATTTATTTGGCTGTGTCTGGTGTTGGTTGTGGAATGTGGGCTTAGTTGCTTTGCCTCGTGGGATCTTAGTTCCCCGACCAGGGATTGAACCTGTGTCCCTTGCACTGCAAGCTATATTCTTAACCACTGGACCAGGGAAGTCCCTTCACTGACTATTCTTGAAAAGCTATCGATTACACCTGATTCTAGCCCTTCCTGTGTTTAAGACTTAGCTTATCTCAAGTTTGAGCTTATTTTAATGTCTCTGCTTTGAGCTCAGGCCAGGCAGAAGCAACTGAACCCCCCGAGTTGTTAGCTAAGAGCAGCCTGTGGAAAGGCAGTGGGTTTTGCTGCAGCAGCGGTGGGGAGAAGCCACTCTGAGCTGACTCCGTCCAACCCAGGAATGCCGTGGTCCGAGAACAGCCTCCCCGGCAGGAGAGAAACCCAACAAACACCCGCTTTGTTCTTGCCACCGTTTCTCAGCTTAGATTCTGGTGGGGTATGGGGGCAGTGAGGGCTGCTCAACTGGTTTAACCTTTCCTTCGCCCAGCAGTTGGAGCCTCTGGGCTGAAGGATGAAAAGGACATGGAGACAACGGGAGGCTCTGAACGGAGTAGCCCTCCACCAGCTCACATCCCTCCTTCAGGGCCTGCGGCTTGGACACCCCAGGACTGGCCAGGTCAGAAGGCGAGGAGGATGTGTTTGCTTTTGTTCATTGTGTTACTGGTGGAGACCTGGGATTTGCTCAGGAGAATGGGGGAAAGGACAGTGAATCAGAAGCTTAGGGTAGGGAAGGAAAAGGGAGTTAGTTTGATATGTATTGTCTTCCTCTTTAGCACTATAAGATGTTAGTCTTTGGAGGCGGGAACACACTGCCACCTGTGTGGTGTCTACTGGAAACAGTGAGGAGTTAACTTGTAGGAGGAGGGTTTCTGGTTTAGAGGGTAGGATAAACTTCATAACTTGGGAAGGCAATATGAGATTTCTTCCTCAGTCTGAGTGCTGGGAGGTACTCCTTTTCTGAAAGCTGGGGCAGTCTTTACCTTTCCTTGCAGAACTCCCACTTCATTTCCTGGCTCTTGTTACAGAGAAGACTAGGGGGGAGCCCAGGTTTGACCCAGGTGACAAGAGAAGCAAGCGAAGGCAGGGTCACAGGCACCTTGAAAAAAGGCCAAAACCAGATACTTCATCTCTTGAGAGACCAAATTCCTCGGAGTCAGGGTGGAATTTCAGCCTCCCTTAAGTTGTGGCGTTGGAGAATAGAAGAGCCTCTAAAATCTGTAGATGGCTAGACTCAGCTGGAGTAGTTGCTTTAGGATTAAGCCCTCTTCTTGAGATAACTTAATGGAGGATGAGTTGCCGATAGTGCTTCACTCTAGTGAGAACCACCGTAGGAAGATGGGAACCCTGACCTCCAGATTTTGTGCAGGTCTGCAAAGGAGAGAGAAAGTAAGCACCCACCTCACATCCTTCCTGGAGATTGGATACCCAACCTGAGAACTTCCTCCCTGAAAGGCAAAAGAGATGGTAACCCAGCTGTCAATGGGTTCCAAATCCCCCCCACCCCCAGAAACCAGCCCTCTATCCCTCCCACGTCATGCAGACTTTTAGCTGGCACTCGCTCACCCACACCCAGCCCCAGTACCAGGAGGAGCCAGAGCCAAGATTTATACCTTTTTTACATCCTAGGCTTTGGGATTTCACCTGAAGAAAGTCAATGGGGAATGGGGATAAGGATTCCCAAAAAGCTGGGGATAGTGAAACTGCTTGGTGAGAGGATGGGAGTTTTCAAGGCTTGATTCCCGGAGAGAGCAGCTCAGGGTGGTGGAAGGAGCACTGACCACAGACGCTCCAGCGCTGGGTCCCCGCCCACCTCCACCGCCCACTGGCTGGCTGACCTCAGGTGAATCACGCCTCCTTCTGGAGCCTGTGTCCTCATCTGTACAATCACAGGGTTGTTTAATTAGGATTTCTGAGGATCCTCCACCACAAAACAGGTTGCTGTTTCCCCTGTATTCTTGAGAAGTAAGAACTAGTCACTCATATGGTTTGGAGCCCAGCCAGGTAGGAAAAGGAATTCTCTGGTGGCTCAGGCAGTGAAGAGTCTGCCTGCAATGTGGGAAACCTGGGTTTGATCCCTAGCTCGGGAAGATTCCCTGGAGAAGGGGATGACTCTCCACTCCAGTATTCTTGTCTGGAGAATCCCATGGATAGAGGAGCCTGGCAGGCTACAGCCTGTGGGGTGACAAAGAGTCACGACTGAGCGAGTAACAGTTTCACACGGGGAGGAAAGGGCACACAGTTCCCACATCTGGCAACAGCTGCCCTCTTCCTCTCACGGTTTGAGAGCAAGGATAGACCACGGATCACGTAATTTAATCTCATTTAATAGATCAGGGAAGGCAGAAAGTGGAGGGGCTTATTCAAGGTTACAGCAAGTGGCAGTTTTATTGAAGGGCATATTTACTGAATAACTATTATTTATATCATAACTGTTACGGACCCAGCGTTTAAGTGCCACTATTGGTACACCTCTCATTCACTAGCCCCATTGTACAGAGGAGGCGATGAGGCTAATAGAATAGGTAACTTCTCCAAGGCCCCTTATCTAGGGAGTCGGCAGAGGCAGCCAAACTGCAGCATGTCCTTTTCACTAGACCATGGGCCTGGCAGGGAGGAGGCTCCCCGCTACCTCAGGAAGTCCAGTGTCTGCCCACGCCATCCTCTGCCCCAGGGAAGCAGGGAAGGTGAGTCAGCACCCCCAGAAGCGGTTATCAGGGAAGGGGGTGGAGAACTGGTCAGATAGCCTGTGCCTGGTATCCACAACACTGGGAGTGGAGCTGAGTGCGCCGAACTGCCAGCTCACCCTGCTCCTGTTGGCCGAAGGAGGGCCCGCTCAGATGCAGCTGCCCTAGTCAGCGCTCCTCCCTGCACTTTCATCACAGAAAATACAGTCTGTCCTCCTCCCCTACTGTAACCTGCCTCTTAAAGGGGACGACCAGCAATTGGAAACCAGACTAGAGAGAGAGCGAAGGACCTCCCCGACCCCACTAGGACCTTGCTGTGAAGTAGGGCGCCAGCCGTGGGCCTTCTGAGCTGTCCTCTTTTTCCCCTCAGCTCCACCCTGTCTCCACTGGCGGGTGGGTGAAGGTTCCCTGGGATGTCATTCCCACATACTCTCCGCTCAGGGTGACCCCAGCTTGGCTTCCTAGATCTGTTTCCACCTGTGACTGAATCCAGTGGCTGCCTTTTGGGGGATGTCAAGGACAGGAGAACCCAGGAATCCTCCAGACCAGCGTTGGCACCGAAGGGGTTAAAGTCCGGGGCACAGCACAGTCTAGGGTGTTTGAAGTAGGGCGGGGAAGGGAAGGGCTAGAGTTGTTGGAGAGGCAGCTGGTCTGGACTGGAATGAGTCCCCCCTGTCTCCTAAGCAAACTTCTGGACCATGAGCGATTCCCTTAAAAGGACCAAGAGAGAGGCACCCCCATTAACGTACTGGACTGGATTCTTAGAGGGGCTGCCTGAAGCGGGACTTCCTCCCATATTGAAGTCATCAACCAAGGGCAAGAACGGGTCTCCCATCTTTGGGATATCTCTCGAGTCTGGTGAGTTTCCCTCTTCCCTTTCTCCGAGTCCTTCTTTCATGAGTGGGCATTCCCCAGAAATAGGGATCTTCAGGAACCCCTCAGCACCCCCAGGAAGTAAGCAGAACAATTCTCCACCAGCCTCCTGTATTCAGCTCCCGTTTTTAACTAAGGTGCATTCTGTTTGTGTCTGTGTGAGTGTGCACAGGTGTACAAATAGAAAATCACCAAAATGGCCAACAGTTAATTAGCACTACTTCTGCAATCAGTGATGCCAAAGCTTGCTTGTGCATTCTTAATCCTCACAATCCTTATGAGTTTGGCATATCACAATCCCTATATTAAATGTGAGCTTTATCCTTCTGTCCGTGGGATTTTTCAGGCAAGAATACGGGGGTGGGTTGCCATTTCCTTCCCCAGGGGATCTTCCCAA